TCTTGTCTCTAAAGCTGATGAGTTACACTTCACATTATATCATTAAATAAATGCCATATTTTTTAGTTATAAGTACGTAATATAAACATATACTATACACTTACTTATCAGATATTTATATTGTATTTATATTATTTAATATGTATTGTTCTAAGTTTATTACTTGAGATGAGATAGCAAAGATAATACTGCTTTTTGTGATAGCCATATTCTGTATCACAGACTGTGATGCAACTTTGTTGTTAGCCTTGTGGTTTCCCAGGAGTTAAAGCTGCAACACACATGAACAGTTTATCAATAGAAATCAACTAGGCACCCCTTAAAATTCTTCAGACAGCCGTCTTGGGAAGAAGCCTTTTCACCAGGGGAAATTTGCATGCTGCCTCTCAGACCTGGATAGAACCTTATCTGCCCTCAAAAAAAATATGCTGTGAGAGTATGTGGGACCACATGGGTGATTTACCCCTGCTGATAGAATTTTCCTTTGTGTTTTTTATGCAGTAGCTATAATTTAAACCCCATGGGATTGAGTAGCCAGCACCAGGTTGCACAGGAAGGGGATTAGTCAGTGATTAGCAGCACAGGGATGTAAGAAAACACAATGGAAGCAGTTGTTCTTTCCTTCCTTCTCCTTCCCGTTGACTGAGCTCTCCCTGGGAGTGCCCAGAGAAGACAAAAGGACCCACCTGCCTTCCAGAGACCTGCCCAAAGCAAATAAATGTTCTAGTTCATTTTTCATCAGGCTGGAGCAAACCAGCTCCTCTGTCATGATATACCTAGTCCCACCCATAGCACATCCTATCCCTTTTCTTGGGTGTGCAGTGGTTTTTCCAGAAAGGAGAGGACATGGAAAGCTTCTGTTTGTTGGTTTGTTGTTTTTTTTTTTTTCCTGCATGCAACACCACCCTAGAGGAGCAACCTGCAAAAAGATAGAAGCCCATTAGGCAGTAAGTCAAAGTATTACTTCCCCCCCCCTTTATTTCCTCTGTTACTTTATGTAGCTGGGACCAGCTCTGGGCAAGCTGGATGTTTTGAATACCTAGAAAAAATATTTTAATATGCTTGTAAAACAAACTGGCTTGCTGCAGCCCTCAACTGCACTGCTGAAATTGCCTAAAGTCAGACTAGGGCTAAATGGAAAATGGGCAGGATGATGAAGAAAATGTTGCAGGGCAGAGATAATAAGTGAAAACAGAAATAAGCAAGTGAAGTGTGTGTGGGAAGGAAAGATTTCAACTGTGGTTACAACTTACAGGCAGATACCTGCTTGGCATGCTGCAGTTATCATCCACAGACACGCAGGTTTCTTCAGTATGAAAATCAGGGTGCAAGAATATTGTGCAACTGGATCTCACCCTGACGTCGAGCTGGGATGTGATTGGGAAAGTAGTAACTATTTTAGGTTGTGTAATACAGATGCAGCCAGAGGGGCTGTGTTAGTGCCATGGTTTAACCTCAGCCAGCAACTAAGCACCACACAGCTGCTCGCTCATGCCTCTCCACTCCTGATGGGATGGGGAAGAGAACTGAGGTAAAACTCATGGGTTGAGGTAAGAACAGTTCAATAACTAAACTAAAATATAACAGCAATAATTAAAAAAAATATAATAGTAGTAATGAAAAGGAAGATAAAAAGAGGGAGAAATAAAACCCAAGAAAAGATAAGTGATGCCCAATGCAATTGTTTACCAACTGCAATCTGTACCTCCTGGCTGGCTCCCCTCACTTTACATATGGGGCATGACATCCTATGGTATGGAATCACCCTTTGGCTAGTTCGGGTCAGCTCTCCTGGCCCTGATCCCTCCCACCTTCTTGTGCACCTGCTCACTGCCAGAGCATGGGAAACTGAAAAAAATCCTTAACAAGGATAAGCGCTACTTAGCAACAGCTAGAACATCAGGGTGTGATCAACATTATTCTCACACTAAATCCAAAACACAGCACTGCATCAGCTACTAGGAAGAGAACTGACTCTATCCTGGCCAAAACCAGGGCAAGAAAAATGTACTGGGTATTCTATAAAGGCCACAGGTCTGGTGCTGCTCAGCTAACCAAAGAAATGCTACCGCACAGACCGAATGCGCTGACGCTCCAGTGTGTCCTTGCCTTTCAGTTTGTCAGTAAGGTTCTACAGCAAGTAACTACAGGAAGATAGACATGGCTTCTTCCAAAATCACCTGGTGCTACTCCCCAAGTTAGCTACTCCTTGTTATGAGAAATTGATACTAGTATTTAATTTCTTGGGAATTAAAATGCAGGAACTCCCACTACTGATAGACAGCTTTGGTCTACTAGGCTGAGTCTACCAGCACAAATCTTACCTTGCTGCATGGCTTTCTCCTTGGTACTATGCAAGAGAGAGTATTTTGCCATTCTTGGGAAGTCCTGAGAAACACTACTGGAAAACAAAGTGTATAATTACTAATAATAGTAGTCAGAAGACTGAGACACCAACATTCTATTTGAGCCAGTGTGTCCAATCTCTTCACTTCTATTTCTTCCCCTTTCCTGTTCATGCATGGCTTCACTCTCTCTGTTTCTTTCCTTTGTGTCTTCTCCATTTCTGTTTGTCAGCCTGATTTTCTTTCTCTTGTAATTTAAGAATTATTTTAGCGTTCTTCCTCCAACATGCAGAGGGACGGACATGTAGCTACATCATTTATTCACTAATGACAGCAGCAGAGTAGCATTTTTCCAGTTTGATAGCATTTAGCACTTCCAGTTTGCAGAAACTGACAGAACCCCTAACACAGTTCAGTTGTTTAATACCTGCAGGAAATGCCCTGATATTGTTACGTCCAAATAAAGCATAAACCCCCTTTGGTCCTTGCTTATCACTTAAAAAAATAGTAATTAGCATCTGGCAGCCCCACTGGAGCTGCATAGATGACCAGCACTTTACAGCAGGTGAACAGAACTAAGCCTAGCATTCTCTCTGTAGGCAAAGCGAGAGTGACAAAGTTAAGAATTAGTGAAATCTTGGTAACTTTAAATTTCTAACTTAACCTTTGGGAATTACTAATCTGAAGGCAACCTTACGAGAATCACTGTGTTTGAAGCTCTTTTTCCCATTATACGTTGTTGCTCCTGCACATAGTAATTCCTTCATATCTCAGTAACACTAAGCAAAGCCTTTGATGCTGTCAGTACAGAAGACAAATAGCACATACTGCAGCTGACAGCCTGTGCCTCACGCAAGTAACAACAACGATCTAGGCACAGGAGAAGACATTAATTCCTTTGCTCTATTTAAGACACTCCCTGGTAAACAGCAAGTAGAATCCATTAGGCAGGAAGCACAGCAGCGATGCCTACAGCAATAAGCTATGCAGATTTTTTCCTCCCTTCCTTGTCATCCATCCTCCACCCAAGACCCAGCTGGCAGTATTCCAGCAGACTAGCACATTGTTCTTCCACGTATTCTCCCCAACCATAGTTCTGATTTCTTCCCTGCTTAGTTTTTTTCCCACTTGTTCGTTCTTTTGCTCTGTTTTCACTTTGACTGTCATGGTGCTTTGTCCACTGACTTTTTTGTGTGCATTCCTATTCGTTGCCCTCCCACAACTCTCCCCCTAAAGGCATGCCCACAGCCCAGCAGCATACATGCCCTTTCTTGTTCACTCCTTACAAACTTCAGTCCCTCCATGCTCTCTTGTTTTGCCTTCAAAATTCTGCTCTGCTTCCATATCTTGATCCTGTGCAATCTGCCTTATGGTCTCAGCCACTGAAATCTCTTCATTAAACCTGCGTAACTGTACAGGCAGATCTCTGGATACATGGACAAAACCCAAGAGGGCTCCCTTGTTGGCCAAGCTTATATCTGTTCTCCAAACAGAAATCCATTACACCAGAACAACAACAGTGCAACATCATCTGTGCACCATTTCCTATCTGTTTAGGCACATCTGTTACACGTGGGATTTCCTCTGCCCTGCTCCCTGCCTCCTCATCCCAGCAGTCATAACCATAGTGATAAAATCTTTTAAACAAGGCCAAGACAATAGCCAAGTCATTAAGGCACTTCGTTTTGACAAGTGTCCGAAATGCTTGTTGCTCTAAAACTTAGATTTTTCTCTCCTGAGGCTTCCACAGTTGCTCTTTCCCCACCACAGCCATCTCTCTTATGATTCCTTCCCCCTGTATCCCCCTACGTGCATAACAAATGAACAGGAATCGTGTGTATTTGCCTACTGTAAGTTTGAAAAAATAACATGTTTCTGTTCTGCCCTTTTTTAATCATACCTCTGATCTATTTACATTTTAGCAAGCTAAACACAGCTCTTCTGTAGCACTTGGCTTTTGGCCAGAAAACATGCAATGAAGCTTTTTCCTCCTTACTTGCTTGCTTTTTTTCCTGTTTTAGCTTCTGCTCTTAACTAAAGCAGCACAACCTACCAGAGCAAGGCATTACTGAGTCCTACTTAAGGCAAATTTAATCCAGTATACATTATGGGCTTGGCAGGTAAGATTGCTGCAACTGACTGAGTGCTGCATGAAGAAGCCACAGGTGTCCTCCTCACTTACCCACTGAGATCTCTCTTTCCTTCTTTAGCAAAACACTAGTTGTTTACCTTCTCATTGCTCTCCTTGGTGTTTATTTTCCGAGGCTGCTTCTCAAGTGTTTGCTACTCATTCACATCACTCTTGCTAACCGTTGAGCATCCTCAGCACCCTTTTAAGCCTAAAACCACAATATAACCTATACAGTAAAATACAGTAAACTTAGTGCACAAAATTGAGAGGGAAGTAAAGGCCTCACTTGCCCTCTGCCATGGAAATGATGGGTTCCTTTATGGGGGGGTGGGTATTGTCCAGTGAACTTGGTGCAAGATCCACTAATCTCAGCTGCAGTCTTTCTCGGTGACAATACTAGGCTGTGGATTAGATCGTACATATGTGTATATATTTAAAATCTGCTAAAAACGGAGAATTTTTTTTCTGTAGCTCCATTTTAAAATTGCTCTGCCAATCACCCTGCTTGGGTTTGTTTCAGATTCACCATCCAATGGAAGCAGTACCAGCCTGGGCCCCAGCAGTGGGTTTCACACTCCTGCCCCATGCAGGAGGATTTTTAGGAAGCAAGATAACCAGAAAGGAAATCCCATTGTGGTATGATTCTCTACAGAAGCCATCCTGGTGTCCACCTAACTGGGTATTTGCTCCTGTTTGGGGAACTCTCTATACATCTATGGGGTATGTTCTTCACATTGTATTAAGGCACTTACTGATGTCAGAGTTGCTTGTTGTATAACGTAGGACCAGAGTAATATTATTGCATTCCTGTGACTGTAGGTTTGTAAGAAACTGTGTCAAGCTGCTTGGTTAACAGGTAAAAACATGTTCTGGGAGTTGTGTGTGGTTTTGATAGGACATTTGGTATGCACAAGTATCCACATTAAAAGTGGGAGTTTGAAGAGCTGCCATCAGTTTGCTTTCCTCACTCGTTCTGAAGGCAAGACCTGCCAAGCTACCAGCAATGGAGCAAAGCAGCATTGGGATTTTTTTCTATGTATGCCCTTCAGTAGATTTAGGAAGATAAAAAGAAAAACTTTAGGGCCATTGGGATAGAACTGTTCTAACAGATCTCAATTAGTAGAAACCAAAAGCAAAATATACATGTCCTTTTGAATAAAACTGCCAGGCTGCTAAACTGTAAATGTCAAGCTATTTATTGCCTCATTTTTTAACTAGTTTAAAATACTGACAGCACAGCAAGTGCTGTCAAATGAACAAGGAATCATAAGGCCAAATAAAGTTCCCACAGGAACTTTAAAAGTTTAATAATACTGTATTTAGGCAGCTGTTACTTTTAATACGATTTAGCAAAAATATTCATAGAGGCAGACTGTCTCAGGAGATTGGTTGGGCAGTTTTGATACTCTTCACAGACTGCCCTAGAAGTTGTCCACCCAGCATTATATGCAAAAGATGTGAAAAAAAGTAAACTCTGGTGAGCTGTGCCACCAGAGAGGAGAAGCAGCGCTCTGCTCCTAGAGCCTCAACAGAGGTCAGCACAGCCCCCAAGCACAAAGCGATGCTTTGTGTCTCTTCTGCACTTGGTCATTAAGAGCCGGCTACATACCAAGATTCAGCATGTTTTTTCCTAGCTCTCAAATGCACATTGTTGCTAATCCAGTAGTAATAGCTGTTAGGCTGAAATATGCCTTTTATGGCTCACCCCTCCCATTTCTCTTCTTCATGACATTTGAAGCGATTTCTAGTTTGCATACAGCACAGACTTAACTATATAAAGTTTCAGAGAGACCCAATCTTTTCCAAGTTAACATTATACATATCCTGCGGGATATCTTAAATACCAAGCTACCTGTTGCAAAATACAGCAATGATGCAGAAAAAGAAAATCCTTCTTGTATGACCTACAAATGAAGACAAGCTCCTTGCAATAACTCCTATGGATGTTTGTTTGTCTGCTCTTAAAAAACTGAGGCTTACAAGTTGGTCTCCATCTTTGCTCCAATGGTGGCAGAAACGCCTATGAGCCTCACATCATCCAGCACAGTCCACAGTCCAGTTGACATTCCTACCAGGATGGAATCAGTATTCAGTTACTAATTCTGAAACAAGGGCGTAATTCCAGATGGTGGCATTTTATCCAGAGGATTCGACTGTAGTCACGTGGAATGGCTGTGCAGTCACCTGCATTGAAATCTAACTCATGTCTAATGTCAAACGAGCGAAAGAAATAGTCTTAGATGATGAGTGCTCCTGTTCTAATCAGGCTCCTTCAGTGCAAAAATAAACTTTACATTAGCAAGTCTCCCAAACCCTGAAAATTCCTGTCTTTAGCAGCTTACATTCTGGGATCCCTACACTGAACTGCTCTTCTGTGGCAATAAGATGATCTGTTCAAAATATTCTGCAAGATCTTTCAGTAGCAAGGATCTTGCAGACAGGAAGGATGCTGGATACTCCTTGTGGTTAATTCTTCCCAAAGAAATCCTAAAAATTTGTGTTCTCCCTGTCTTTATCCCATCCACTTCTCCCTTCTGAAATGTGACTATAGGGTTGCTCCCAATCCATACCCATACTCATCAGTGCTTTGGGATGCCATTATTTGCCCATTCCCACCTCAATTCCTACTTTTCCTGTGTTTCATCCATTTTAAAAGGTTGTTTTTTTTTTTTAAATTTATTTTAAAGCACCATCTCCCAGTATCAAAATTAAATATCTTCACTATTTAGAGATCTACTTTTAGCCTTGCTTCCACTTCAACATGGCATTCTCTTTTAAGACTGAAATGCAGTAGGTCATCTGTTCTTCTGCACCTAGAGGTGAGAACTCTGGCAGGACAGGGAATTCTTGACCCTCCCTATTGCTGTTCACATCAGGTGTGGCTTTTCCAGATGAAAACTAGACCCTAGTACTGAAGTAATTTCATTTGGTCAGGAATGTGTGGTTGCTTTCTAAACCAGTATGCTGAATTATACCTTACGTTTGCTTTCTCCAGATATGGCTCCTACCTGGTGTGGAAGGAACTGGGAGGCTTGAGTGAAAAGTCAGTGGTTCCTCTGGGTCTGTATGCAGGGCAGCTGGCATTAAACTGGGCATGGACTCCGGTATTTTTTGGAGCTCACAAAACAGGATGGGTAAGTGGAAAAGTGAATTTCATAATCAAAGGCTTCTGTTGTCATTTGCAAAGTTCTAAGATGGAAGTTTTGTGTCATCACTGTTTCTCCCTGAAAATGCGCCTTAGTGCAGAATATGGCATGCAGTTTTCTAAAATCCTCTTTAATGCATGCCAGCAGCCACCTGAGAGAATTTACGTATCTACAACATCCTTAAATGTTTAGATTTCAAGGTCTTTCTGCCACCCTGTGATAAGAGCTTTAAGTGACTAGAAAATGTAAACATTTATGCCTTATTAAAATTCCTAGGTATCTCTGGCAAACAGCAGTCGTAAGAAACATATCATAAGATTACTTGAGTAATCACCACCCATTTTATACAAGATTAATTTTATGCAGTCTGAAGAGAAACAACGCGTCAAAAAATAATAACAGAAATCTGCCTTTGCAACCTCTCATTGATTCTTTCACTCTGCATTTCTTCAGGCAGCATCTATGACATGAAAAGACTGGATAAACTGACTTAGTTAAGTGACTTGCTTAAAGTCACACTGCGTTTGTAGTCAGTGTTTTGCACTGCCAAAAAAAGAGGGTGTGGGTGAGAGGGATTTTATTTTCCCTCTGCTGCTCCCAGCTGCAAGGCACTTTCTTGTGACTGTTGCATTGTTTTAGGAGTCAAACTGACTCATGACTTGGGAGAATTTTTTTTTTCCTTGCTGGCTGGTTTTCTGAAAAGGAATTAACTCACAGAGGGATACAACAGAGCTAAGTGGAAAGAGCCACACAAAGACTATCCAGTCAAGAAAATCGAACAAGTGAAAACACCACTAACCACCTTCCTGTCTTTCAGGGGTTGGTGACTCTTCTGCTCACAGCTGGTACTGCAACAGCTACAACTGCTTCCTGGTATAACATCAACAAAGCAGCAGCTTATTTGATGGTTCCTTATTTAGCTTGGCTAACCATGGCTTCTGCACTCAATTATCGTATCTGGAAGGACAATCGCAACAAGAAACAACCTGAATAAAGTTATCAGCCAAAAAGATTTTTTTTTTTTACACAAGAATTTTCTAAATAAAATTATGGCCTTATTTTTTTTTCGTTGAACTACTTAGAATACTAGTTTCCTAATTACAAGTTGACAAAGGAGTACTTCTGTAAAGCAAACATGCCTTTAGTAGGCAAGTCAAAGGGGTGTATGCCTGACCGGGTTATATAGCAAGATAAAAGATAGAGCTGATTGAAAAATACTAATTTTCTATATTACAGTATTATTTTTTATATAACGACAGCATTTTAGTTATTACCAGAAACAGGCACAAACACCAACTTCCCTATATTCAGCCAGGTATGAACACAGCTTCCAGAAAGCTGCTCCTAATGGTGACCAGCACCATTGTAGCCTGGGTCTTTCACACTTAACCACCAGACACAGTGCTCCAGTGCTGTGGTGTGTCCCACTACAGCTGCCGAATATTTATCTTCCGGTCATTGTACCCTGGAAACATTTAAGATAAAATCATTTTCACAATTTGTGCCTTCCCACTTTGGAGCATTGTGCAATCTAGCATCAGCTAAATGCATTAAACTACATATAAACCTATGAATCTTGTTCCTGTTTTTATTGGTTTTAAATGGTTTTGAGCAGAAAAATGCTGGCAACAACAGGATGCTATAGATGCAAAGATAGCCCCCTTCATCTTTTCTCCTCACCATGGCAATGGGGCAAGGGAAACGAGGAAATTAAGAGTGCCTGGATGTAAATACTCAGCAGGCCCCTGCACACACCTCTGAGGCATCACCAGCAGCACTGGCCAAACAGCACTCACGTATGGCAGCCCAACCCTTGGTGTGACACCAGTTCACCATCAGACCTCAAACATGGAGCTGGTGGCCACAGGTGAGTCTGTTGCCCATCAGGGCAGTGTGTACACTGTAGCTACTCATGTCTCCTACCTGAGCTACTCATGTCTCCTACCTGAACCTTCTCACTTCAGCTGCTTCAAAATAGAAATGAATCTTTCTCCTCTTCAGTATTATGGCATCTGACCCAGGAAGATCTGGATGCTTCAACCAGTTGTCACCTATGAGATAAAGATCTCTCTTGTCTAGGAGCACAAGACGACTTCTTTTGCCCACAGCTTGTGGTCCTACTGCACAAATCTTGCTACTTTTTAAATGTCATTCTTCTTGCAAAGTCTGATATCGCTTACTCTTTATGATGAGGGAAACCTTTCCCTGTACTCTAGATCCACTCTAGGCACTTTGTTACCTGCTTTCAGGTAGTTTAAAGGCATAGGATGCCTCTTGCTCTCCTACAAGCAACAAATATGTCCCCTGAGCAGCACTGCACACACCCTCTCATGCACCATTACTATATTCTACATCCCAAACTTCTTCCCTGACGCTGGAAATAGTCACACCATCTATGTTAAGCACTTCACCATGTTTCTTTAATCACAGTTAAGGAGAGAGCCCAAAAAAGTTCTGCCTCACAAGCAGGAGACTGACAGGGCTGTCGGCACCACTTCTGGTTGTGCAATGCAGCTTTCCCTGCAGCCCCACCTGTGCAGTAAGTGAATTTTCACAAGACACAGATGGTTTATTTCTCCAGCTATGTTTCAGTTAGTGGAAAGAAGTAGGCTTCTGCAGACCAGCTTGAAATAGCCTAAAACATCCCTCTCCCTTGCTGATCATGAGAGATAACATGAGTCCTCACATTATCATTTGCAAAGCTCGAAGCAAGATTTAGAACATCTATACAGTTTCATAACTGTACTTCATTCTCAAACAGATCCTCATTGCTGCCAACTACCTTAAAAAAAACTCTACCCACATAATACATACTTCATGACAGACAGAAGTTTTACAACTTGTACAAGCACACACAGCAACTTAAATACAGCCTAAGATTGCTAAATTTCAGCCAGTTAGCCTGATTTGAGGAGAGAGATTAGGACTGATTAATTTCAAACTGACACCCCACTCCCAAATACCTTTATCTTAGACCCTAAACTTCAAAGTCCAAAGGTTGCTTGGGCTTCTAGCAAAGTTTTCCAGATCTCTCCCTCCTTCAGGCTGCTTCTGCATTCCTGTGCTGCTTGAGGCATTGCATCCCTCTCACTTCCTGCCTGATCCCGCCTCAAAATTCTAGTTCCTTTAAGGGGCAGGCTAAGGATGACAGTCAGTAGTACACGGTTCATGAATCTTGTGGGTTTTGTTCTGCCTTTCCAAATCTTCAATCTTATTACCCCAGTAGTTCATTGCACTGAAATACCGTATTATTTTCCCATCAGAACATTTTAGATCTTTGCGTAATATCCATAGATAGAGACATACAAACTCCAAGACAATTCAGTAAATTATAATTTTAATGTTGACACGGGGAACTTGTGCGATGTTTCCCAGCAAACAAGCTACATGAAAAATAAGTCAGTTGCTCCAGTTACAATCCTACTTTGAGGTGTCTCACATTCAACAAGCAAGATGTTTGGTCAACAAATACTGATGATTTATAAAACTAGGCAAGACAAGGAAAATGCAGACAAAACTATTATCAATATGGTATATGCATATTCTTCCAATACAATTTTTTGTCCTAGGTTACCAGTATAGGAAAACAGTTGCATCAGCAGCTCATAGAACTGAAATATAAATCTTGCTGTTAAGCATATCTGGGAAGGAAATCAATAGAGTCAGGCCTCCTGAGGCTAAACAATGCATGTCACATGGCAGTTTTCCGTTTCATCGAGAAATAGGGTGCTGAAGACATCATTAAAAAAGGTAGGGTGGTATTTGCAGGCTCTATCACAGTCAGGATTAAAGTTCACCTCCAGGATCTGAGGCTGCATAATTCTTTTCCCTGCAAAGGGGAACACAAACATTGCCTCTTAATACAAGCTCTACAGAAATACTGAATCACTACCTGTCTTTAAGCCAGAGATTACAGAAAATGACTGTAAAAAGTAATTTTTTATGACCCAAGCTGGTAGGGCATTTTTATTTCAGTGGGTTTGGGTGGTTTTGGAGGGGCAGAGGCCTGTTCTACCGTTATTCAGAGGATGCTAATTAATGCCTCCTTTAGAATAAGAAATCGCAGCAATTTAATAGGATCTCCTCAATATAGCTGTCTTGCTTGACAGTCTGAAACATCTTACGGAAGGATTCTAGCTTCTCCATTCACATTTCAGTACAAATCTTCCTTTCCTAAAGCTCTTGGATATCTACCCATCCAATTTTAGCAGTCCTATTCGTTTACACACCAGTCACTCCCACCTGCCACTGCATCTCATCCCTAGAAGGAGGTCAGGAAATACAGTTTTCCCTTAAAACTTTATCAGTATAGCTCAGAGTTTATCAAAAGCATTCTGTGCAAAGAGAAACAAAGGATTTTATTTCCTGTCTGGTGCTGACATCTTAAGTGAGGCTACAAGCTTCTGATGTGCAGGCAAACCATACTCTGCTCTCCACAGCAGCAACTGAGCTCTTTGTCCCCTAGGCTGCCCACAGTATTAGGTGTGACTTTTGCACCCATGACCCCATCTTCAAGAGGTGGGGGACCTGCACACCTCATGTTCAGCCAGGGCTGTTACGTGAGCTTGGTCCTTTAACTACAATAGTTTTCCTCGAGCTAGTAGCATTTTTGTGTTGGTGCCTCTACTGCTTTTCTACCTACAAGACACACGTGTCTAGGTCAGGCACACTTACAGAACATTTTTGAGGCTCCTGGTGAAATAAAAAAAGAGTTCACTCTGGCAAATTTGGCTAGCAGTCCACCACAACCGGCTGGATGAAAGGCCCCAGGCAGTTAGCTGTGCTCTGGCACTAACAGGAAGCAGCTTCACACACAGGTTCTTGAAGACACCTGGCAACAACTGATAGTCCTGAGGACTTCAAGGGCACTGAAATGGTGAACGTGGTCCCTTCCCTGCTTTAATAACCATACATGGAAGACACTGGCCCAAGCCTGGAAGTCACAGATACTAAGACGTCTCTTTAAAGTTTTCATAAAGAGACAGTTACTTCAGACGTTCTCTCACCATAAATGGGAAAGAAACTTTTTAACAGTAGGGACACAACGGAAGCAAGGACTCAGCCAAACATAGTTAACAGCTCCTCCATCATTCCCATCAATGATTAATGAGCAGAGCAGATGCCAGCCCTACAGATCTGCAACTCCAGATACGCTTTGATGTCAGTGGGAGGCACAGAGCACACAGCTCGCTCTGCTTCAAAAACACTAAGAGTTCAGACAGAAGAAGTAAGTTTCTGAAAATGTCCACAAATATAAAGAATTCAATGTTCAAATAAATTAGCTTCTCACCATCTCTGTTTGTGTCCCATTTAAGCATCAAGTCAACAGCATATATCGCTCTTGATGACGGATAATCGCATATGCCAAGAGGAGCAGGTTTAGCTGAAGCAACTTGGAACAATTCAGCAAACGCGCTGAAAATATTTGCCTATAGCAGAAAAAGATTTCTGAATGAGGAGTTTCCATAAAAGCAGCAAACGTGTTTATCACTTCATCCAAACAGCTTTGTAAAGATTTTGTATGAATTACACTAGCCAACAGATGAAAATCTGCACAGTATTAGCTTCAAAACACACAGTTAGACCTGAACACAACACAGGTAAAGTTCCAAGCACCTGGCAATATCCATAGACTTCTTCTAGGGAGTATATCAGTATTACAGAAATCCTGAAAATAGGGCATTTAATAGTTAGAATTAACCCCCCTTCTCAGGCATCACGTACAGTATTGCACTTCGGTGTAGAGGAGGGAAAAAAGAAAACCCACTAGAGGTCTGTAAACACCAGTAATACAACTGTGAAGTTCTGACTTTTCCCTGCCTATTAAGTTGTGTTCTAGCTTTGTTTTGTTTTGTAATGAAAAATCTCATACCCTCTTATACCCCTCTAAAATGGGTGGTAGTGACATGAAGATTTTAAGAACATGCTACACACTGGTATTTTGAGAAACAGTCAGATATCCAACATGAAAGTGAAATAAACCAGAAAGAACATACAGATGTGAATTCCAGTACTGAGTTCATAACTGCAGTGAACCATTCCTTCTGCAAATGAAAAGAGGGTGTAATATTTCCTATTCTGCA